TCAAGAGTCAAGAATCATCAGGTACAACACTTAATGATAGTCACAGGGTACAATAAGCAATTGAATCATACTAGGAAACAGTCAATATAAATCGCAAGGATACGAGCGACAAAGTTACAGTCATACAGTCACAAGTGGGAGGGGATGGGTGATAAGGAGTGATGAGAAGATTAATAGTAATAGTAGTGCAGGCTTTGTAAATAGTTGGACAGTGTTGAGGGAATTATTTGTTTAGCAGAGTGATGGCGTTCAGGGAAAAACTGTCCTTGTGTCTAGTTGTTCTGGTGTGCAGGGCTCTATAGCATCGTTTTGAGGGTAGGAGATGAAACAATTTATGTCCGGGATGTGAGGGGTCTGTAAATATTTTCACAGCCCTCTTTTTGACTCGTGCAGTATACAGGTCCTCAATTGAAGGCAGGTGGGTAGTAATTGTTTTTTCTGCATGTTAAATCATGTTAAAATTTAGTATTACCCCGGTGGCACATTAGGCAAAGAGAAAACCTCAACCTATCATCCTCATGCTAATCAGCTTGACTGAAACATAATGCCAAGGACTATCTGTAGTACTAATTTCTCCCCTACTCCTTACTCCCTTTTCATGCCTGCATTTCCTAGTCTTCTGCTTTTTTTAGTTTCTAACAGTATCACCACTAAATCTATAATTAAATTTCTTCTTGGTTAGGGTAAAGTATTTCATGCTATACTTTTATCCACTTCAAATATTTCTCCAACTACTTATAATCATCCATAAAATTGTAGCTTTGGAAGGGATGTCTATGGATTCTCCGTCATCCTGATCATTGTTGTTCCAGAGGTGCTTTTTTCAAGAGGTAACTGGACTTTCTAGTTTTTCTTTTGAAGATGTTTCCCTGCTCATCCAGAGAGCTTCTTCTGCTCTGACTGGATGGTCAGAGCTGAAGATGGCTGAAAATGGCTTCCATTCCCCTCCATCCAGTCAGAGCTGAAGAAGCTCTTTGGATGAGAAATGAAATATCTTCAATGAAAAAGCAGAAAGTCCAGTTTCCTCTTGAAAAAAGCACCTTTGGGACTTTGGAAGGTATCTTGGTAGTCTTCCATTCCAACCTTATGTCCTTGGCAGCATTACTCAGAGCATCCCACATGCATGGTTTTCCAACCATTGGAAAACCTTCTGTGATGGAACACCCATGAGTTTGGAGCTCTCAGTAAAGCTTCCACCCCATGATTCTTGTTGTTGGATGTTGTTGTCATGCCCTTGGTAGAGACGGACTCTGAGGGAGAGGAGGAACAGCTCACAGGGAATGGAGGTGGGGCTCCAGAGGTTGTGGAGGAGCTGAGGAAGGGCAGAAGCTGGCTGGGCAGTCAGAGGAAGAACCAGCCCCTCCTCTCTGCATCTTAGGACACGCAGGTAGGGACAGAGAAGGCAACAAGTTGGCTTGCGAGAGAGGAAGCGGCCATGATCCTTATTGGTTGCAGTTGGGGAGAATAGTATATAAGAGAGACAGTTAAAACACAGCATTGCCAGAAGCAAAGCATGTTTTATTTTGGGCTGACATTATCTTGGTTGACGTCCTTCCAACAGACCGTGCCTTGTTATCTGCTTGAAACTGGTAATTACTTCTCCTGATCTGTTGTGGAAATTCCTTCATTGTAGTTTGTTTTAGGTTTTTATTTTACTTCTATCTGCTCATTAAGTTCAGACTGTATTGCTTTCTTTTGAAGACTATTTTTGAATATGTTTTATCTCGGAGAATCATTGAACCGTGGGGCCAAGTTGGAGGCATTAAAAGACACTTATTTACATTTTGGATTTTGTTACGTTTGTGTTACACTCTGGGTCATCACAGTTGTGGAAGCTAAATTCATACCCTCTTTCTCTGATAGCCTTTAAAAAGTAAAGGTATAAGTTTCCCCTGCCCAGTTGTTTCTGACTTTAGGGAGTGGTGCTCATCTCTATTTCTTAGCCAAGGGAGCCAGCGTAATCTGAAGATGCTTCTGTGGTCATGTGGCCAGCATGACTATACATTGAGGTGCATGGATCATTGTAACCTTTCCACCAAAGTGGTACTTTTTATCTACTTGCATTTGCATGCTTTCCAACTGCTTGGTGGGCAGGAGCTGGAGCACGGTGGGGAGCTCACCCCATTAAGTGGTGCTTGGGTCTTGAACCAGAGCTGACAGCTTTCTAGCAGAAAAGCTCAGTATCTTTAACCACTGAGCCGTTGTTCCCCCTACTGAGAGTCCTTAGAAATCTGCTATCCTGTCTCCCCACAGCCCTCTCTTTAGACTAAACCAGTGATGGTGAACCTTTTTGTTGTGGTGTGCTGAAAGTGCATGCATGCTCGCACCCCCAATGCAATGCGCCCTGCCTCCCCTGCGCATGTGCACGCAACACCCCTGCCCCACCCCCTTACCTGCACTCCACATATGCTCGCCTCCCAGCTGATTTTTTTGCCCGCTTGAGGCCATTTTCACCCTCCTGGAGGCTCGAGGGAAGCCTCTGCAGCCTCTGGAGGCTGAAAAACAGGCCTTTCGGAAATACTGGAAGTGCCGAAATGGGCCCATTTTTCGCCCTCCTAAGGCTGCAGAGGCTTCCCTCGAGCCTCCAGGAGGGCGAAAATGGCCTCAAGCGGGCAAAAAAATCAGCTGGGAGGCGTGCACATGCGCAATGCAGTTAAGTTTGGCTGGGGCTCATGTGCCCACACAAATGGCTCTGCATGCCACCTGTGGCACGCATGCCATAGATTCGCCATCACGGGACTAAACCATGGACTGGTACACTACAGTGTCCTGTCCGCTCCTTGGAGAGTTACCATGGTAGAAGACTTGTTTCCTTCAGACTATAGATGTCAGCCTAGCTAAACCCAGAATGTTTCCATCCTTCCACTGTATCTTACCATCCCCCAAGTGTTCACTCCAGGCTCCAGCCTTACCTCTCCCTTTTCAAGGGGATACAAGCATGACATAATGCAGGGCTTTGGAGCAGAATGGATAGCTCAGATCGTCACCCAGTCTTTGGAGACAGTCCAGTCCACCCCAGTTTTGGCTCTGGAAAACTGAACAGATGTCAGGACAGAAGGCAAAGAATCGGGAGCCAAAGACAGAGGAGTGTGTGAAACTTTTGCTTCCTGCTTGATTCCCAAGACCTGATCTGGCTTGGAGTTTTCCAGCATCCATCCCCTGCTGGGTGTCTGTTTCCGTGGAGAGGACTGACGTTTACCAACAGAAAAGAGTTGTTTTGCTAGTAAGGAATGCAAGCGTTTCCTGCAGGAAATTCTTCAGATGGGTGATTGAGCCAATACGAAGAAGAGAGAAGAAAGATGAGGAAAGAGACGGGACCTGTGCTAACTGCAAGTGAAAGAAGGAGCTAGTTTGGAGTCAGGGCTATTAAAGCATTATGTCAGTGTTCCAACTATCCAACTCCAACCCAATAAACTCCCAAAACAAGCAGTTCCTTAAAGTTCCATTTTATTAGAGTTATCCTATTGGCACATCTAGGAAAACCCAGATCTGAGAGTTCCAGGTTTTCCCCTTCCCAAAAGATCCATCCTCTGCACCCATCAGTCCATCACAGGGTCCAATCAAGTCTTCTTTCCCAACTGGAGATGTCCCTCCCCTGCATCCATCAGTCCATTGCATGGTCCAATCAAATCTTTGTCCCAACTGGAGACATCCCTCTCCTGCATCCATCAGTCCATCGCATGGCCCAATCAAATCTTCTTTCTCAACTGGAGACATCCCTCCAGTAACTCCCCTCCCGGTGCAGGACAACATGTCCTTGACTCTTTGAGAAAGAAGGTTATTGTGTCTAATCTTCTACCTCACTATGAAATCCCCCCTCCCAAATTCCCAGGCACTGAATGTGGCAGCCTTGAAGCTTCTAAGTAAAAAATAGCATCCAAGGCTGATTCATTGATGACTTTGTGCAATGCATTACCAATTGTCCCCAACTTCTGACCAAAGTTGAGCATAAAATTTCTGGTGCTAAGCAAGATGGTTGTTAAATGACTTTTACCCCATCTTACACCCTTTCTTGCCACAGTTGTTAATTGGATCAGTACAGTTGTCAAGTTAAATAATCAGGTTGTTAAGTGAATCTGGGTTCCTCGTTTTTGCTTGTCGAAAGGTCACAAAAGCGAATCATATGACTCTGGAACACTGCAACTGTCATAAGTTCAACACTAAGGTTGATGGCCACCATCGTAGGTGAGAGCAGCAGATCCCCCAAATTAACGATGGGATTTATTTCTATAATCTGTAAACTTTATGTAAATCATGGCCATATCGATAAGCCAAGGAGTGTTCTGAAATAATACAGTTTCTTCGGTGTATCATAAGAATTGCTGTGGCCAGAACATTTTGTCCAGTTTTGTCAGATATAATCCAGTGTTATTTGGCTATGGATCTAAAAAGTCATTTTAACACAGGAGCTTGGAAAGAGATTCCATTTTTCTACAAATTAAAATAATTATTTGTTCTTTGAGATGCACGGAGCCAGCTCTGTGGCTATGAAATGGAGTTGTTACACTTTATTGATTACAAAATCTATCACTTTTCTGCTGTTATTATGCTCTAGACCAGGGGTCGCCAACCTTTTGGACCTCAGGGACCACCAAACTCATAATTTTAAATCCCACAGACCAGAGACCCTGGGAAAATCCCCAAAAAAGTCTGCAGGAAAATTCCCCACTCCATTTTCCTTTCTTTATTTGCGATTGCAGGATACCATCTCCAGCTCCGTTCTCAGGGGGCAGAGAGAGAGAGACTTTTGGCTTCATGCAAGGAAAGCAGCAGAAGCTGCAGAAGTCTTTTTTTCTCTCCCCCAAACTCCATCCGAAATAAGTCTTTGTGAGACTTGTCGTGCAGGCACAGCCTCTTGGAGTAGGATGCCTTGCAGGGTCCCAAAGACTCATTTCTGGCAGAGTTTGGGGGAGAGAAAGAAAGACTTTTGCTGCTTTCCTTGCATTGTAGCCAAAAGCAGAAGAAAGAAACAGCCCAGTGGCCAGGCAAGGTACGTGGGGCACATGGGGCAAGTTTCTTGGGGCAAGTTTCACATGGGGCACATGAGGCAACCTTTCCCTCCTCCCCTCACTACCTCATATTGTTCGCAATGCAAGCGACGCAAGCCTTGTGTTCCCACGGGCCATGTGCGCAGCGCAACCTTGTGTTCTCGCGCAGCCTGGATTAATTGCTTTAAAAGGGTGCTTGGGGGTGACTTTTCTCTGTGGACCACCAGCATTTTCTCATGGACCACCAGTGGTTCCCGGCCCACTAGTTGGCGACCACTGCTCTAGCCAACATAAGTGGCATCTGATGTTTGGGAATCTTAGCTGAGAGAGTGACCCTTTGGCCTCGATTGAGAAAATGTGCGTTGGTTTTAACATGTCAGAGTGAGATACGAATAACTCATAGTCCATCATTTTATACTTCCACATGTTAGTTCAAAGTCCAAGAATGCACAGTCAATCGATATGCCATTTGTCATGGAAATGTGGTCAGAGGCATGAGTCAAATCCTGGTTTCTCTTAGACATTTCCCAAGCCCACTTGGGAGAATTTACATAAAATTCTCCTGAATTCCCAGACGTTTTCTAATGGCCTGGGCATAAGAGACTTTCAATTACCCAGGCAATAAAAAAACAAACAAACCCAAAGATCAGCCGTAGAGCAAGATATAATTTGGAACATGTTTTCCCAAGAAATCAACAGCTTTCATATTTAAAAGTCCGTATAACAGTATTTCAATGAAAATCATAAATCAGTCTAGGACAGTTTTTAAAAGAATAGCGCTTTACAAAAGTACATTGTCTCAGACTGGGTTAAAGATTAAAAGTCAGGTTTTCTAGTTAGGATAAAGTCATTCTTTCAACTTGCTCTAATCAACTTTAAAAAAAAAAAAGGAGTCATAAAGGAGACCCAAAATTTCATCTCTAGAATGTATTTATAGGAGAAAAAGGCAGAACCTAGAGGTGGAGTTAAGAAAGTTATCAGCCTGGAATTGTTAAGTTGCCACAAGTGATCCAAGTCTAGCCTTCCTTGAATTCCATTGACTTTTCTCTAGTATCTTTTGTAGTCAGAAACCAACACTAAGTCAAATATACATACAAAATCAACTTCTAATCACACCTTGGCACAGGAGGGTCTTGTTCCTTCCAGATAATACTTAGCAGAAAAACTATACTGGTCCCTAATAATAAGTCAGATGAAATGTTGATTTGGGGTTTTGCTGATTAGCTAGGTTTGGTGGTATAAAAATGGCTAGTATATATTACTATATAAAAGTAAAAAGTTAAAGTTTCATGTTTTCACCTTATTCTACTGCACCAAAAGGAGTAAGAAGTCAAAGCTTTTTCCCCCCCTTTTTTGTCCTCTTCCCTACACTTTTCTTTCCTCTCCTTTTCCTCTCCTAATTTTACCTTTATTTTCATTTTTCTTTATATTTTTTCTATTTTATGCTTCAATAAACTAATAAAATTTTGAACCTAATAATGAGATGATAGGAGGAGGTAGAAGGAATTGGACTAGAATAGAGCTGGAAGGGACCTTGGAGCTCTTCTAGTCCAGCCCCCTGCTCAAGCAGGAGATTATATATCATCTCAGACAAATGGCTGTCTAGTCTCTTCTTAAAACCTCCAGTGATGGAGCACCCACGATTTCTGGTGGCAAGTTGTTCCACTGGTTAATTGTCTTCACTTTTAGGAAATTTCTCCTTAATTCCAGGTTGCATCTCTGCTTGATTAGTTTCCATCCATTATTTCTTGTCCTGCCCTCAGGCGCTTTGGAGAATAATTTGACCCTGTCTTCTTTATGGAAGCCCCTCAAATACTGGAATACTCCTATCATGTCTTCTTTTCTCTAGACTAGCCAAACCCAAATCCTGCAGCCGTTCTTCAAATATTTTTAGTTTCCAGGCCTTTGGTCATCTTAGTTGCTCTTCTCTGAACTTTTCCCAAGATCTCAACATATTTTTTGTAGTACAATGACCAAAATTGGTTGCAGTATTCCAGGTGTGGTCTTACTTCATGTGATTTTGATTCTATGCTCTGCTTATACAACCCAGAACTGTATTAGCTTTTTTGGCAGCGGCTGCACACGGCTGGCTCATATTCAAGTGATCGTCCACTAGGACTCCAAGGTCCTTCTCACAGTTTCCCTTTTTGAGACAGGTTTCACCTAATCTGTGTTTATACCTTTGAATTTTTTTTTTCCCGCCTAAATGTAAAGCTTGGCTTTCCTCCACATTAAAATTCATTCAAATTAAAAACTAAAACACATTTAAAATTCAAGGAGTTGAACTCCTATATCTAGGTGGGAGTTTGCAAGGAGTGGGAGTTTTTGATTGGTTTATTTAATTTAATTTTTTATTTGATTTATTTGATTTGTCAAATGCTTACAAGATAATAGGTATAAGAATTAACATGAGTATGAATGCAGGAAATAGGGACGAGTAAAAGGGGACAATAGGACAGGGATGGTAGGTAAGATAGTGCACTTATGCGCGCCCCTTACAGAACTCTTAGAAGTGGGGTGAGGTCAGTAGTGGATAATTTGAGGTTAAAGGAGTGGGGGTTAGAGGATGTAACAACAGAGTCAGGTAGTGCATTCCAGGCATTGACCGCTCTGTTGCTGAAGTCATACTTTCTGCAATCAAGTTTGGAGCAGTTTACATTGAGTTTGTATCTGTTGTGTGCTCTTGTATTGGTGCCATCATGGACCATGGCATTCATGCCATGTGGCGCTCTTAAAAACCTGGGTAGGATTGGGGCATGTCTGGGGTAAAAAAACAGAGAAAGAAGGTCTATTTCTCAAAAGAATCTGGAAACCCCCCTGGCGTTTTGATGTGAAAGGAAGAACGTAGCAACATGAAAAATCTTGTAAGATTTGCGCTGACCATGTTCGACTTCTGTTACTGTGGCAACATGGCCCCTGCTTGGTTCCCATAGTTACTTTCACAGCTGCAGAACAAGATGTAGATACTTTGGGGAAGGATTGGGTGGGTGGGGGGGTCTTATCTCAAATGAGAGCCAACTTCAGGAGCCAAACAAGAGATAAGAAATAAGTAGCTGATGCAGTTCATTGGAGGAAGAATAGGGCCATTTTGTGATCCCTCTACATAAGGTCCCTTAAGCAGGATGATGTAGGAACCGGTGTTGTGAGAATGCGTGTTCTTCTTTCTCAATGCCCAATGGCAAAGATAGGATGGAAATTGAAGTATGTCACCCATGCCTGGACAAATCTCAGAAACTAGAGGATGGGAGGAACAGGAAATCTGGTCATAATTCGTTGATCCCGTCCCTGAGAAGGAAAAAATATCTTGCAAACTTAATATCTATAAAACTGAACTATTTACCTAAAGTGTGCCTTTTGCAAGGCTGTGTGCTTCTTGTCGTGGAAATTGTGTGACTTTGGCAGGGTTTTTCATTGGGGAAAGGGCGTTTGTCTACAAACCTGGTTACAAAGCCTTGTGCACGTGGTCATATTTCACACCTAGCTTTCTAACTGATTATACCACCAAATGGACAGGGAATACTCTAGAGAAGGACATGCTTATTTCACCCCGCATAACCATCTGGCAATGCCTGAACTCTGAAAACAGCTTGCTCGATTCCTGAAATTAGAATCCCTTGGATCACTTTAGGAATACATTTTTGGGGCATCTATTCTGACACAGTTCCCCAAACACGACAAACCCTCTGTAGTTGAATCAATGACTCCGTTATTAGGAGCAAAAAGTTTCTCTCTCACCACAGGCTAACAAGTCCATCCATCCGTAAGATGAATAGTTGTCTGCCACATCTATTCATCTCTGCTCCTTGCCTTTTATCCCCAGATAAAGGCTTCACTAGCAGTGGTGGCTCTTCCATCCCAAGGACCGGCCCATAGATTTCCACTGTTCTCCTCTCCTCTGGCTTCTTGCAGCAGCACGTCAAGCACTCGACCCAGCTGTTCCTCCTCTTCCTCATCAGCCACTTCCAGACCTGGGGGCTGTCAACTCTCCATCTGATCTCGATCTCTCTCCCTCCCTTTCCCTCCCTCCCTCCCTCTCCCCCTCTCTCTCCTCATCTGATTCAGCTGTTGGAGGGGCCGGTGGCTGACAGGCCGCACCAGGACCCTAAATTCAGGCAGTGTCTTCTTTGTATTACTCCTTTTATTTATGTATATTTATTTTTGTGTTTCCATTTTATTTTATTTTTTATTTTCTCCTCCAGCTTGTGGAGAAACACTGCAAGACAGTCAAGGGAATTTCTCCTCACCTGACTTCCCCAATGGATACTCTTCTCACAAGCATTGCATCTGGAGGATATCAGTCACGCCAGGGGAAAAGGTAAATGTTGGTTTAAAACCTCCGCCCTCATTTTATGGAATCATACAAGATCAAGTGAGGTACTAATACCATTCTATAAAGCCCTAGTAAGACCACACCTAGAGTACTGCATCCAGTTTTGGTCACCACTCTATAAAAAAGATGTTGAGACTCTAGAAAAAGTACAGAGAAGAGCAACCAGGATGATTAGGGGACTGGAGGCTAAAACATACAATGAACGGTTGCAGGAACTGGGCCTGGCTAGTCTAGTAAAAGAGAAGCACCAGGGGAGACATGGTAGTGGTCTTCCAATATTTGAGGGGCTGCCACAGAAAGTAAGGAGTCAAGCTATTCTCCAAAGCACCCGAAGGCCAGACAAGGAATAATGGATGGAAACTGAACAAGGAGAGATTCAACCTGGAAATAAGGAGAAACTTTCTGACGGTGAGAACCATCAATCCCTGGAACAGAAGTTGCCTTTGGAAGTTGTGGGAGCGCCATCACTTGAGACCTTCAAGAAGAGATTGGACTGCCATTTGTCAGAAATGGTGTAGGGTCTCCCTCTTTGGCAGGGGGTTGGACTAGATGACCTATAAGGTCCCTTCCAACTCTGATTATCTGTTATTATCTGTATATTATCTTACAAAATGCTGCCCTTCCTGTTCTTTTTTGCCAGTAATGCTTTCTCTTGGGAATTATTACCTTTGAGTGGACGCTATTAATGCATCCGACCAGATTATTCCAAGCAAAGCAGGTAGTCCTTTACTTACGACCCACATTTCTGTTGCTAAGGGACACAGTTGTTAAGTGAGTTTTGTCCCATTTTGCGACCTTTCTTTCCAGAGTTGTTAAGTGCATCACTGCAGTTGATAAGTTAGTAACACGGTTGTAAAGTGAAACTGGCTTCCCCATTGACTTTGCTTGTCAGAAGGTTGCAAAAGGGGATCATATGACCCCCTGGGACACTGCAACCGTCATAAGTTCAAGTCAGTTGCCAAGCATCTGAATTTTGATCACACGATCGTGGGGATGCTACCAAGGTCGTGACGGTGAAAAACAGTCATAAGTGACTTTTTTCAGGGCCGTTGTAACTTTGAACAGTCACTCAATTAATGTTTGTAAGTCGAGGCTTACCTGTAAAAGCTAAATTTATGTAACTTATTCTACGTTTTCCTCCTGAATAGATTATTTTTCTAGGAACAAAAAAATGGAAGAAGTAGTCAGAAATCATAGGTGGGCTAGTAACAAAAGTATTGTTACAAAGCCCTTTGAAAAAACACATTAAAATTAGTTGTTTGGGGCTCTGAAACTTATTCAGTGAAGGGGACTGGAGGCTGAAACATACGGTTGCAGGAACTGGGCCTGGCTAGTCTAGGGAAGAGAAGGACCAGGGGAGACAGGATAGCAGTCTTCCAATATTTGAGGGGCTGCCACAGAGAGAAGGGGGGTCAAGCTATTTTCCTAGGCACCCGAAGGCCAGACAAGGAATAATAGATGGAAACTAATCAAGGAGAGATTCAACTTGGAAATAAGGAGAAACTTTCTGACAGTGAGAACAGTCAACCAATGGAACAGCTTCAGAGGTGGTATTCAGCAGGCTCTGACCAATTCTGGAGAACTGGTAGCGGAAATTTTGAGTAGTTGGGAGAACCGGTAAATCCCACCTCTGATTGGCTCCACCCCCATCTATTCTCCACCTCCCGAATCCCAGCTGATCGGCTGGGTCTTCTTTTGTTGCCCTGCACAGGAAAACGGAGCTGGAAAGCTGGTTAGTGGGGTGGGGTGGGAATAGAGATTTTGCCGTATCCTTCCCATGCCTCGCCCACCAAGCCACGCCCACAGAACCGGTAGTAAAAAAAATTTGAATCCCACCACTGAACAGCTTGCCTTCAGAAGTTGTGGGAGTGTCATCACTTGAGGCTGTCAAGAAGTGTTGTAATGACGAGGCAGTCGCGGTGTTTGATCATGATCACATGAATCATGATGAACTTTATTGGAGTCTAGTCTTACATTTATACACATTTTTAGTAATCCTCTAACATGGGTTAACTTTAGTTTCTGCTCAGCTTTCGTTACTGTTTAGCATAGTAATTAACACAACTAATTATCTCTAGTTAAAGTCTAACATATGTTTACTTCCTCTCTCTAATCCTTCTTTGCATTAGTGATTTTGTTTGCCTGAGTTGTATTTGCTTGATAAACATTCATTACCTGAGGTTTGCCATCAGATAGGAACATTCCTGCAATTACAACTCTACAAAGAAGAGATTGGACTGCCATTTGTCAGAAATGGTGTAGGGACTCCCGCTTGGGCAGGAGGTTGGACTGGATGACCTACAAGGTCCCTTCCAACTCTGATAATCTGTTATCTGTAGAGCCATCTCCAAGATGAATCAATGTAACCTAAGATCACCTAACTGCAGTTTAAACTGGGTCTGTCACTTGAGACATATATTCTCCTCGTTTTCTTTCCCAAAAGCTCCTGCAGAGACAAGTATCTGGATGTGCTACAGATGTTTTGCACTTCAACTCCCATAAAGCCCCAGTCAGGATGGCAAATAGCGAGGAATGACAGGAGTTGTGCAAAGCATATGGAAGACGACATCAGGTTCCCTTAATCTCAGGCCCTTCCTCTCTTAATCCATTTTTAATATTGCTTCCGGTATCAGGTTTCACATCATCCTATTTTGAGAACACAGAAGAAAAAAAACAGAAACAGATGGAGAAAGTCCATCATCCTGGAACATAAACCTATTGTAATATTGGGAAGCCGTTTGCCATTGGAAGAAAAGTTCAAATCTACATTAGCATATTTCCTAGGGATTTTAATCCCTTCCCCCCCCACATCATTACAAAGATGTGTATGTACCTCATCCTTTCCAAATTCGAGTAAGGAAAAGAAATAACAGATGCCGTATATTGCATTCTTTCAGTACTTTATGAAGGTTACAGACAGTAACTAATCTTTTCTCTGCGTAGGTTCTTTTGCCATATTTACTATCCCATGCGATGCTGTAATGTAATTAAATGGGATTATCTCTATTTTCTCTGGCTTGGGAAAGAGCATTCTTTCTGGAAAAGCATCCAAGTCTTCATGTCTGGCAAATTCTGAATCGAGTTGAGAGATTTGGGGCCATTTTTAAGATTACAGAGTCTAAATTGCCGCTAGTTTGGCACAGCTGGACAGTCTGGTTCAGGCGTATCTCCAGTCAACTTGTTTTCCACACATAACAAAAGAACATGCAGGTAGTTCTTGATTTGCAACCACAATTGAGCTCCTAATCTCTGTTGCCAAAGTGAGACAGTGAATGTGCCCCAATGAATTTTGCCCCATTTTACAACCTCAAGCCACAGTTTTGAAGTGAATCGCTACAGTTGTTAAGTTAGTAACACAGTGTCAGGATTCCAGCAATAGCTCTAATTAAATCATGATTCTCGAGCCAAACTTCAAAAAGCTGCAAAGGGTCTATTAAAGGTGACGTACTGGCATCGCCCTGTATGAAACCAACTCTAGAATACATAATTTACAGTCCCCTATGACCCTGTTTTCCCCCTCCTCCCTGGGTGTCTCATAAATCAGATTCTCCAATTGAGCATGTTCACGGGAGCAAAAGCTCTGGTATTTTAGTTAAAATCTTTTAAAGATAAGAGTTGGAATGTACTTTTGCTTTCAACTACTCTTCCAGATTTCCTTCCTCTCCCCTCCCCCACTTTTTATGGCAACTACTAAAACAGGCATAGGAATGTTTTATGAGTTGTTAAGTGTGTCATCATGATTTATGTCTATGATGGGCAGGCTCCATTATTGTTGTAAGTCAAGAACTGCCTGCACTTACTACATTTTAGCATAGAAGAGGAATGTTATTTAGGACTTGGAAAACAGGCTGTTAAGGGTATAAGAGATGACCAGGCTGAGCTCAAGGGAAGGGTCAAATGCATCGTCAGTCATGGGTCCCTTCGTGTCCACACAAAATCTAAGTCTATCCCCCCTTGAATTCCTTATCCGCCGCCAAATTGCTTTGACTGTCAGTAGTTCAGGTTCTTGTAGGCTGCTTAAGCTTGCAATAAATCTTTATACCCATTTTAACTATCTTGATCTCATGATTTCTCTGGGGTAGTTGATGTTCCTCAAAATGGTAACTCGCGAAACAAATAAGAAATATGTAGAGTATGCCATAGTACTATTTAGGACCTGCTTCCTGCTCAGGTTGGTGTGGTCTCTTCTTGCTTTTTAGATCATTCTGAACTTTACAACCCTGGATCTGTACCGCAGTCGGCTATGTTGGTATGACTACGTGGAGGTGAGAGATGGATTCTGGAAGAAAGCTCCCCTGCGAGGTAATCGGCGAGGATGTCTTGGTGGTTGTGCATGTGGCCAAAGCTCATTGAGGAACATCTCCCAGGCTGATTGATTGACTTCCTTCCCCTTTGTAAAACCCAGCTCTGATTTGCGTGCACGTGTTTTGTTTTGTTTATTTCATGGCTTACAAACGTTTTGGGGGAGCAGTAGGGATTGGAGGCATTAATCATTGGTTGAAATATACCATAGTAATAAAGGTAGGTAAATATGGTGCAGTGGCTTAGAGGTGGAGCTTTCATCTCATAATCAGGAGGCTGTGAGTTCAATCCTAGGCAGCAGCAGATATTTCTTTCTCTGGGCATGAGTAAATATCAGCCGCGAACTCTGCATTGGTGATAGGAAGGGCATCTGGCCAGTAAATACTCAGCTCCATTCACTCTACCCTGCAATGGATAATGGGGTCATTAAAAGATAAAAAATAAAGGTAGGTAAATCTACTCTGAGATGTTTACACATTTCTGTCCTGCAGTCATTCCCTAAATACTCCTTATTTTCACTTTTCAGAGTTAGATTGACTTCCTTTACAGTCATCTGGACTGAGATAACCTAGATAAGATTGAATGACTCATACACCTGAACTAAGAAGCATTCAGTGCCTCATTCGGATGCAATTTCCTCTGGATCTGAAAATTGTATTTAACCGAGTTTTGCTCCTTTAACTTGGTTTTCTTTTTCTGAGCCTTAACTGTTGTTCTTAAACTTAGGGTCCCCAACTCCCCATCCATGACCCGGTGCTGGGCTGCAGCCTATTTGGAACTGGGCTGAGATGTGGGTGAGCACATTCATGCACGCATGTGTACACAAAGCTGCACTTGCAAAAGTGGCTCACGCATGCACGAAACCATGCTCTCTCTACCACCACCGCCTCGTCCTGTTCGCCAAGCCAAAAAAGTTGGGAGACCACTGTTCTGAACCGTAGCGTACTTGCATTATCAATTGGTATAGTTTTGACAACCAAGCCCTCTTTTCACGATACTTCATCAAGACAGTTTCTTTTTCCTGTCTTTATTCTTGAATTTGTCCAAGTCCTGATGGATAATATTGTCAAGATCATTCTGGAGGCTTGGTCCATGGAGATCCTCCATCATCCAGGTCTTGGGTGTCCCAAAGGTGTTTTTTTTTTCAAGAGGCAATTTGACTTTCTGTTTTTTCTTTTGAAGATGTTTTGCTTCTCATCCAAGAAGCTTCTTCAGCTCTGACTGGATAGTGAAGAATGGAAGGATTTATATTGCAGAATGGAAATGACCAGTAGTCTGCAAGGAGTATAAATCACTGCATTCCCCACCATTCACCTTTAGAATTGAAGAAACTTCTTGGATTAGAAGCAAAACATCTTCAAAGAACAACAAGAAAGTCCAGTTGTCTCTTGAAAAAAGCACCTTTGGGGCAACCATGACCTGGATGATGGAAAACCTCCATGGCTTTGAAAAACCTTCCTGGGTGCTTACTAGAGGTAGTATTCAGCAGGTTCTGACCAGTTCTGGAGAACCAGTAGCGGAAATTTTGAGTAGTTCAGAGAACTGGCAAATACCGCTTCTGACTGGCTCCGCCCCCATCTATTCTCTGCCTCCCGAGTCCCAGCTGATTGGCAGGTCTTCTCCTGCCCTGCACAGGAGAATGGAACTGGAAAGCAGGTTAATGCAGTGGGGAGTGAATGGGGATTTTGCAGTATCCTTCCCCTGTCACGCCCACCAAGCCATACCATGCCCACCAAGCCACGCCCACAGAACCGGTAGTAAAAAAAATTTTTAATCCTACCACTGGTGCTTACAGATTGACTTCACTAAATATCTATGGAGATTCAGTCCTCCAGGTTATGGACTTTCTGGTTTTTCTTTGTTTTTGTTTTTTGTTTAAGTTTTTTGTCTGCAAGGACCATAAATCCTTCCATTCTCCCACCATCCAGTTCAAGCGGAAGAAGCTTCTTGGATGAGAAGTGAAACATCTTCAAAGAAAAACAAGAAAGTCCAGTCACCTCTTGAAAAAAAAAAACACCTTGGGGACATTCTGGAGCAGTAACTTTATTATTATTTTTTTCAAACTATAAAACACGTAAAGTTTGCAACAGCCTAACTACCAACCCGAGCTACTAATATTCAAACAGGCTTGCAAATATCCTTTACCTTTTCAGAGGTGGAGAAGTAATCCTGCTTCCAAGATTCCACTCCCAGGAAAATTTATCAGGGGAGGAAGAAGTTTGCTGATCAGAATAAAAATACACGACATTCTTCAATCTATGCTTTGCTGTAAAATAATAAATCGTAATAACCCACGTCAGTGATGTATGTGTGTATGTGTTATTTTCTCCAGGTAGATTCTGTGGAAATAAACTTCCGGACTCAATTATCTCTACCGACAGCCGTCTTTGGATCGAATTCCTCAGCAGCAGTAACTGGGTTGGCAAAGGGTTCTTTGCCGTCTATGAAGGTAGAATATTTTCCTTTTTTTAGTCCAAATCATTTGGGGCACAAAAAAAAAACAGAAACAGAAGATCAAAGAATAACATATTTAGGTGCCAGTCGGTCGTAGATTGAAATAAATACAGGTAGTTCCTTGACTTACGACCACAATTAAACCCAACATTTCTGTTGATAAGCGAGAGAGTTGTTAAGGGAATTGTCAAGTCATAAAACATTTCTATGCCTGTTTAGGGTTGCCACAAACAGAAGTGGGAGGGGGGAGGAAATTTGAAAGAGTATTGCAGCAGTTTGGAACCGAAAGTACATTCCATTCATATCTTGCAAAGATTGTAACTAAGCGGGAGGAGTTTCTGTTGTGCAGATCTCTAATTGGAGAACGTGATTGATGACTCTTGGCTATGAACATGTTTTGTTGGAGAATATGAATTATGATGCACCCAAAGGGGTGGAGGGAAACCAGGGTCAAGGGTGACAGTGAATTACGTGTCTCAGAATTGGCTTCAAGCAGGTTGTGCCAAACATGTTTGCTCCTAATAGATTGTTTATAGAAGCCAAGAGGAACATACGTGCCAAATTTCAAGTTTGTAGGCTTTACGGTTCTGGAGATTTTGTGATGATGCATGAGTGGTCTTTCACTTTTATATATATAGATGTGACTAAAGGGTTGGATTTGGGCCAGGAAGTCTTAGATTCAACTTCCACTTAATTTTGATGCTTCTTAGATCAGGGGTCTCCAACCTTGGTGACTTTAAGACTTAGGGACTTCAGTTGGCTGAGGAATTCTGGGAGTTGAAGTCCCCAAGTCTTAAAGTTGCCAAGGTTGGAGAGCCCTGCCCTAAACGATTTTGGTTTCTTTGCTTCTTCAGTCAAGTTGCTTTTAGCCCAACCTGCCTAAAAGAGTCGATTTTGTGGGGCTAAAATAAGGAAAGACACCTTGGTGTAATTTGCCTTTCGCTCTGGCTGGTAAAGCTATCAATGCAATCAATATTTTTCTTCCAGCCATCTGTGGAGGAGACATGAAGAAAGACAAGGGGCATATCCAGTCTCCCAACTACCCTGATGACTATCGACCCAATAAATTGTGTACTTGGAAGATTACTGTTTCGGAAGGATACCACGTCGGGCTCAACTTCCTGTCCTTTGAGGTATCAGAAGAAATTCCTGCAGTATTTTAGTATATGTTGTTAGGAATATAAGTCACCTAACAGTTATTTGGGTTGGAAATATATAAGCCAGGATAGACATTTTAATACTGTCTCTTTAAGAGAATCCTAAAAGTGTAATTGGGTGTGGTTTCTCAAATGGCCATAAGATGGAGCCAGAAACCTGGGTTGTCTTAGCCTTAGTCTCAGAAGAGCGTGTGTCTCAGTGAGTCTCTTTTTCCTTCTGTTGGAGAGTATTTCCGTTCCTCCATTTTTCCTTCTAATTGACTGATATTCTTGGATTTGACGTAAGTCTGATACTGAACTTTTTTTGACACTGGACTTTGTTATTGGATTATCCCTGGACTGAAAATTGACTGATTTAACCTGTGAATGACTTTGGACTGTGTTTGAACTTTGCTTAAACCTTTCTGGAAGTAAAAACCTACATTTACTGTACAGTGTATCTGTGTGCTGTGTGTGTGTTATTCAAATACTTCTCTCAATATGTCTCCCTGTATGCGCTCATTCTCCTAACGGGGAATTACCTCAACATATGTGTTCTGTCTCACCTTCTTTTCCAAAAGATGAAAGAGTACAAACTCACACAAACACAGGCAGGCAGGCTGGCTCAGACTTCACAGAGTTAATTCTTTGGAACTGATAACGTCCTTGGCATTCCAACACGCTCTGCCTGTCAAGTCCGAACTGATAACAAGTAAAAAGCTACTTACAAACAAATACAAGGCAGACCACAAAAATCATTCAGAAAGAAAACCTGAAGTAAGCTTAAACTTTGTCCCGTACAAAGTTCCAGCTGACAACACATCCACTTTTATCCCCTGTGAGGTGTGGCTCAATGACACAGCTCACTCTCTGACCCTTCCACGCCTCCTACGTTGTTGCTCACATTTCTCCCTACGACGCTGCCTAGGATCAAGCCAACATTCTTCCTCTTGACTCCCTGTCAGGGGCTGCTCCGATATACCTTTCTCCTGATTAATCTCAGGCTGTTCCTCTCGGCTGTCCGATGAAACCTGAGGCATTATCAGGGAGGAAGGCATTGCCAGAGAGGAAGGTCCTGGGGAGGAAGGCATTCCCAGTTCCTCCTCCTCATCTTCCAAGTCCTCTTCCTCTAACAGCACAAGCTCAGGAATCGGAGCCACAACACATATGTGCTAAGACTACCACACCATAACATCAAAAGCCTCCTGGGAGCAAAAATGGGCCATGGGGAGGCATTTCTGGGAGTTGAAATCCACAAGTTTGCAAAGTTTTGAGACCCGTGATCTAGAATGTTATTTCTCTGATCTCTTAGAACTGATCTGCTATCCATACCTAAACGTTAGGTTAGCTTCATAAAGTATGAAGGATAATCTTCTTGGAATTCTCTTAAAGGTTCCCCTTGCACATATGCACCAGTCATTTCTGGCTCTAGCGGGGGCAGTGCTCATCTCTGTTACAAAGCTGAAGAGACAGCACTGTCTGGAGACGTCTCCGTGGTCATGTGGCTGACAGGACTAAACGCCAAAGAGGCACAAAACACTGTTCCCTTCCCACCAAAGTGGTCCCTATTTTTCTACTTGCGGTTTTTACCTGCTTTCAAACTGCTAGGTTGCCAGAAGCTGAGACAAGCTCACTCCGTTATGTGGCGTTGGGAATTCGAACAGCCAAACTGCCAACCTTTCTGATCGACACGCTCAGCATCTTAGCCCCTGAGCCACCATGTCCTTATGGAATACTCTTTCTTTATTCCTAGTAGAACTTCTTAGTCAACTGCCTTTTCCCTTTCTGTTTTTTCCATCTAATGTAGGTTAAGGTGCCACCAAGAGCTGATCGACATTTTCAAAATGAAAACTCAGCAATTTATCGAGATGTCCGTGTCCTCCTCCCTTTTTAAAAAAAATAATTTTTATTAAACTTTTTCACTATTAAAAAACAATACATATAACAACAACATGTATAAAAACAACACATATACCCTCTTCACAGTGGTGTGACATCAACTATTCCAATTAAATCAATAGATACATATTTACATTATTTCTTATTCCTACAGTTTAACTAATTGTACCATTTTTCCCAGACCGTATAGTATTCCATGTCTTCTCTATCTTGCAATTCTAGTGTGAGTTTGACCATTTCTGTGCAATCCATTATTTTCTTATCATCATACTATCTGTGGGGATACTATCTAGTTTTCAACTTTGTGCGTAGGTTATTCTTGCCCCTGTTAGTACATGTATTATGATATATTTAATTTCTTTCTTAAATATTTCCCTTTTTCCCCCCATATCTCCCCAGATTGAGCGCCACGACAATTGTGCTTATGACTATCTGGAGATCCGGGATGGCAGTTCAGAGTCAGACCCTGTGATTGGAAGGTATTGTGGTTATGACAAGCCCGACGATATTAAGAGCACCTCCAATAAGTTATGGATGAGGTTTGTGTCCGATGGATCCATCAACAAGGCTGGCTTTGCAGTCAAATACTTCCAAGGTAGGGTATAGAGCTTGGATTATTCAAGGCAGGGTTGGATAATCTTTGGATGACCAGCACCTATAATTTATAGCTTTACAATTGTGGAGAGGGCAACGTTGTATGACAAAGAATGGGTGCAAAGTAGAGAGGATTGTGTCATAGAGAAGATAGCAGTCATGATAGCAGTCTTCCAATATTTGAAGGGCTGCCACAGACAGGAGGAGGTCAAGCTATTTTCCAAGGCACCAAAGGCCAGACAAGGATTAATGGATGGAAACTGAACAAGGAGAATTTTAACCTGGAAATAAGGAGAAACTTTCTGACAGTGAGAAAGATCAACCTATGGAACAGCTTGCCCACGGAAGTTGTGGGAGCGCCATCACTTGAGACTTTCAAGAAAAGATTTGTCTGCCATTTGTCAGAAATGGTGTAGGGTCTGCCGCTTGGGAGGGGGGTTGGACTAGATCAGGGGTCTCCAACCTTAGCCCCTTTAAAACCTATGGACTTCAACTCCCAGAATTCCTCAGCCAGCAAAGCAAAGCTGGCTGAAGAATTCTGGGAGTTGAAGTCCATAGGTCTTAAAGGGGCCAAGGTTGGAGACCCCTGGACTAGATGACCTATAAGGTCCCTTCCAACTATGATTATCTGTTATCTGTTAAGGAGTGTTCAGATTTTCTGATTTTTTCCCCCCTTGGGTGAGAAGAGGTGAAGGTGGGACATTACATTTTTTGTTCTAAAGCAGGGGTGTCAAACTTGATTTCATTGAGGGCTGCACCAGGGTTGGGGGGGGGCATAGCCAGGGGGCGTGGTTAGCTTGATGTCACTCATGTCAGGTGCGCCTCAGGTGGCCTGAGCATTCTGCCAGCCAAAAAGGGCTCCCAATCTCCGTTTGTGGCTGGGATGGCCCCCTGCAACTCTCTGCCAGCAAAAACACAGCTCGGGAGGACCTTCTGAGCTCCATTTTCTCTGGTAGAGGCTTGCAGGAGGTCATCCCAGCTAAAAATGGAGATTGGGAGCCTGTTCTCACTGGCAGAGGCACTGCTGTTTCCAGAGCGGCCCCGGGGGCCAGATCTAAGCAGCCCACGATTTGATACCCCTGTTCTAAAGCCTTTGTCAGGGTTCCAATTGCCCTAATTAAATCATGAGCCTTGAGCCAAACTTCAAAAGAATCCAAAAGATTTATTAGGAGCAACATGTCCGGCACTAACCTGTATGTAGCCAACTCTCAGACACAAAATTTACTATCACCTATGACCCTGTTTTCCCCCAGCCCCCTGGGTGTGTCATAAATCAGATTCTCCAACAAACACATTCATGGGTTGGTGTCATCAATCACACTCTCCAATGAAGGATTTTCTTCTTTAAAAAACAAAACATAATAAAGGGTAGTTTTATTAAATATATTTGGCACAAACCTTTTGATCCCTTCTCAAAACTCAGTACATTTAGCAAAAGACGTACTAATATGTTTATTTTATACAGCTTATGAAAGAAGGGTAAGAGAAGGAAGGTGATTTTCGAGGGCAGAAGATCCGGTAGCCTAGGCTACAATCTCCACAAGATAAGTGTGGAATGTGCTTCTGGCCTTCATCTGCCCCACTGCTCCCTCAGGCCTTTCCCCCCACCTCCTTCTTATGGCAACTCGGAAACAGGCATAGGAATGATTTACGAGTTGGCAGCCTAATTAGAAGGATAAGGTCCCATACCTGGAAGCCAAACAGAGCAATGAGAAATGGCAGTTCTCATGGGCTGTATGTGAACTGGATTCAGAAGCTCAGGTTGATCATCCCCATGAACCAAAAGAAAATATTTGCATTTTAAGTAAGGATGAGCAATGCTTTGATGGTCAACGGTTGTGGAGGACCTGTGGGCCATAGCAGATGGGGTGATACTACAATCTACACCTGAGTAGACTGGCTATTCCCCCCTCACACACACACACACACACACACACACACACACACACTATTTTTGACCCCAAAGTGCTTTTCCAAAAGGCAACTGAACTTTCTTGTTTGTTTGTTTTTCTTTTTGAAAAGATTTCACTTTTCATCCAAGAGGCTTCCTCAGTTCTGGCTGAATGGTTGGGGAATGGAAGGATTCAACATTCAAGCAGAACTGAAGAAGCATCTTGGATGAGAAGCAAAACATTTTCAAAGGGTAAAACAAACAAACAAGAAAGTCCAATTGCCTTTTGGAAAAATACCTGTCAGGTTTCCAAGTGATGAAATCCATTTAAAAAGAAAAGAACCAAGTCCATCTTCCAAGACAAATTCTTTTATTTAGGAAAGCATCAAATTGGCAAAGTCCATGGTAATTCTGGATCTGATGCAACCCGGAATTACCCCACAATATTAGAAGTTAGAAACAACCCCCAAAAGTCACATAGAAGTAATTCAATGTTGCTTGATGTCATAAATCTCCACCTCAAGGGGCCTGAGCACGGACAGCTCGTTTTCCCACAGGAAGAAGAATCACCTAGCCTAAACAACTCTCTCCCTCCACTCCTCCCCCCTTGGGAATGTGGCAAGCCCGAAACCCTTTCCCCTCATGACTGCCACAGAGAAAGTAAGAAAAAGAATATATACTAAGCCTAACTAAAATGGCTACACATATGTCAGTTTGGGGCTTGACAGTACCTTTGGAACAACCATGATGTGGATGATTGAGAATTTCCATACATGCCCCACATTTTTTTCCCCTTGGAAGAGGTTTCTTCCCTTTTTGAAAAAAAGCAGTATTCATACTGTTTTAGCCTTACGACGCAGTTTTCACATACAGCTGGTAGAAAAATGATAAGAGAACCACAAATCAACTGTGCAATCAGCGAGAATCCTCAAGGCCCGTTCATGGGTGGTATCTGACCTTGGCTTTAAAACAAGGCAATCCTGAGAAATGTTCGTAATGTACCACTATGAAGTATTAGTAGTACCACTTCATAAGACCTTGGTAAGACCACGCCTGGAATATTGCATCCACGATATAAAAAATATGTAGGGACTCTACAAAGAGTGAAGAGAAGAGAAAGAATGAAGAGAAGGACAACAAAAATAATTAGGGGACTAAATTATACAACGACTAAAGCATACAATGAACAACTGCAGGAATTGGATATGTCTAGTTTAATGAAAAGAAGGAGTAGGGGGTGACATGATAGCAGTGTTCCTATATCTCAGGGGCTGCCTCAAAGAAGAGGGAGTGAAGCTTTTCTCCAAAGCCCCTGAGGGCAGGTCAAGAAGCAACGGGTGGAAACTAATGCAGGAGAGAAGCAACTTAGAACTAAGGAGGAATTTCCTGACAGTTAGAACAATTAATCAGTGGAACAACTTGCCACCAGAAGCTGTGAATTCTCCAACACTGGAAGCTTTTAAGAAGAGATTGGACAAAATATTTGTTTGAAAATAGTATAGGGTTTCCTGCCTAAGCAGGGGGTTGGACTAGAAGACCTTTTAGGGTCCCTTCCAACTCTGTTATTCTGTTAAATGCAGGAGTAGACAAACAGGCAAGTGTTTCTATTTGCAGGACTGTTTGTATTGGGCCACTGGGGGGCAGACGTAACACGGGTAAAGTGTAGGGTTTTTTTTTCCAACTCTGCTAAGGACACCATCCTTTTACTGCACTTCCTAGAGGCAGCTTATTTTCTGTTTCCAGAACAGATTCTTGTTTTGCACAGCTGGCCGTATAATCACAATACATCTTTCTTCCTAGACCGTGGGGATTTGATCCTCTTTCTCTTTCACTCCTTTTTTCTCTTTCCCTCTTTATTAAAATAGCTCCCTCTTTAGCTCACGGAGATGGAACGCAAGAAAACTGGATTATTCCTGCAGAGGTTGGAAACACAACACCGTTGCGGTAGAGAGAAGCCGTCAAGTTTTAGCCTACAGCATAGGCCAAAGAAAAAAGAAAACAGATGAAAATTTCACTGCTTTTGTCATTCCAGAAGTGGATGAGTGCTCACGACCAAACAATGGTGGATGCGAACAGCATTGTGTGAATACCCTGGGTAGCTACAAGTGTGCCTGTGAACCTGGCTATGAGTTGGCTCCCGACAAACGCAAGTGTGAAGGTGAGCATTTTAGAAAGCATCTGTTCCGGTTCCAAGAATGTATATGCCCTCTTTCCCTGAAAATAAGACCTATCCCAAAAATAAGACCTAGCATGTTTTACATGTGCGCCTAATATAAGCCCTACTTCCAAAATAAGGCCTTCTGAAGAGTCTGTGTAGCTGACTGACTGCCCATTCCATCTGGTTGATAAAGGTACAATGGCCATGAGGTAAGGCCTTAGGGCCCCCGCAGCCAGGCCATCCATACCCCGATACCTGCCTTGCAGGGCAGAAGTTTACAATTTAGGTTATATTAGTATAGTCTAATACAGCCTGGAGGTTACTGGCAAACTGAGGCCTTAGATAGAGATAGAAGATAGACAAGCAGACAGACAGACAGGTAGGCAAGATATACACTGCTCAAAAAAAATAAAGGGAACACTTAAGCAACACAATGTAACTCCAAGTCAATCACACTTCTGTGAAATCAAGCTGTCCACTTAGGTAGCAACACTGATTGACAATCAGTTTCACATAGGCAGGTAGCAAGACATCCCCAATATAGGAGTGGTTCTGCAGGTGGTGACCACAGACCACTTCTCAGTTCCTATGCTTTCTGGCTGATGGTTTGGTCACTTTTGAATGCTGGCGGTGCTTTCACTCTAGTAGCAGCATGAGACGGAGTCTACAACTCACACAAGTGGCTCAGGTAGTGCAGCTCATCCAGGATGGCACATCAATGCGAGCTGTGGCAAGAAGGTTTGCTGTGTCTGTCACCATGGTGTCCAGAGCATGGAGACAGGCCAGTACACCAGGAGACATGGAGGAGGCCATAGGAGGGCAACAACCCAGCATCAGGACCACTACCTCTGCCTTTCTGCAAGGAGGAACAGGAGTAGCACTGCCAGAGCCTTGCAAAATGACCTCCAGCGGGCCACAAATGTGCATGTGGCTGCTCAAACAGTCAGAAACAGACTCCACAAGGGTGGTATGAGGGTCCGACATCCATAGGTGGGGGTTGTGCTTACAGCCCAACACCGTGCAGGATGTTTGGCATTTGTCAGAGAACATCAAGATTGGCAAATTGGCCACTGGCTCCATGTGCTCTTCACAGATGAAAGCAGGTTCACACTGAGCACATGTGACAGATGTGACAGGGTCTGGAGACGCCGTGGAGAACGTTCTGCTGCCTGCAACATCTGCCAGCATGACCGGTTTGGCAGTGGGTCAGTAATGGTGTGGGGTAGCATTTCTTTAGGGGGCTGCACAGCCCTCCATGTGCTCACCAGAGGTAGCCTGACTGCCATTAGGTACCGAAATGAGACCCTCAGACCCCTTGTGAGACCATATGCTGGTGCGGTTGGCCCTGGGTTCCTCCTAATGCACGACAGTGCTAGACCTCATGTGGCTGGAGTGTGTCAGCAGTTCCTGCAAGACGAAGGCACTGATGCTATGGACTGGCCCGCCCATTCCCCAGGCCTGAATCCAATTGAGCACATCTGGGACATCATGTCCCGCTCATTCCACCAACGTGACGTTGCACCACAGACTGTCCAGGAGTTGGGGGATGCTTTAGTCCAGGTGTGGGAGGAGATCCCTCACGAGACCATCCACCACCTCATCAGGAGCAAGCCCAGGCGTTGTAGGGAGGTCATACAGGCACGTGGAGGCCACACACACTACTGAGCCTCATTTTGACTTGTTTTAATGACATTACATCACAGTTGGATCAGCCTGTAGTGTTTTTTTCCACTTTAATTTTGAGTGTAACTCCAAATCCAGACCTCCACGGGTTACTAAATTTGATTTCCATTGATAATTTTTGTGTGATTTTGTTGTCAGCACATTCAACTATGTAATGAACAAAGTATTTAATAAGAATATTTCATTCATTCAGATCTAGGATGTCTTATTTTTGTGTTCCCTTTATTTTTTTGAGCAGTGTAGATAGATAGGTACATGCCCTGTAGCGAGAAAATATTGGATAAGGACAAAAAAAAATGGATAGAAGAAATAATTAAACAGCAAATTGAATTAAGACTGGAGACTTTTCTATTAGTTATAATAATGGGAAAATATGATAAGAAAACAGAGTATCTAATGCTACATTTATTAACGGCAGCAAGAATTACTTATGCACAGAATTGGAAAAATGATAGTATGCCACCAGAGGAAACTATGATAAAAAAAGATACTAGAGTGATGGATAAGTTTGACCATGGAGATAAAGGAAAGAGAGGAAACGGATTATTTTTTGACATGGAATGTACTGTATGATTGTCTAAATAATAGATATATCCTATTGTCGTATAGGATAATAAGGTAAAAGTTACAGTGGACAAAGATAGAGTAAGGAATATAAACAAGTGTATATATCGTTAAGATTTCTGTAAATGTATGTATACCATCAAGGAAGGGTTGTAATGAATAGAAATGATGTTGTATAGAAGAAAAATTGTTTAAGTAAAAAATTTTTTTTAAAAAAGATATAGATAAATAGACAGACAGACAGAAATGATAGATACCATAGTTGTTAGAAGATATATATATATATATATCTTTCCTTAAGTTTACTTACATGTATGGTATTCAGCTTTGTTCGGGTATTTTCCCACGTCATTGTAGTTGTGCTTTTAAAGTTGTAGCAACGTTTTGGCAGAATATCATCTGCCATCATCAGGCTTCTGTATTGTGTCCGTCTGATGGTAGCCGATGGTAATGTGATCTAGAAAGATGTTTACATTGACCGTGTAATGAAAACCTTTTTTAGAGTAACATCAGAAAACCTGCAGAGCCTGATTTCAAAGCCCATCCTCCTGAAAAAGTTCACCCAATCTCATTGAATATGAAAAGGAACCACTAGAGCAGGGGTCTCCAAACTTATCAACTTTAAGACTTGTGGACTTCAACTCCTGGAATTCCTCACCAGCAAGCTGAGAAAGTCCACAAGTTGACAAGGTTGGGGACCCCTGCTCTAGAATGGGAGTCTCCAAACTTGGCAATTTAAGACTTGGGAATTCTGGGAGTTGAAGTCCTCAAGTCTTAAAGTTGACAAGTTTGGAGACCCCTGCTCTAGAATGGGAGTCTCCAAACTTGGCAACTTTAAGACTTGGGAATTCTGGGAAGTCCTCAAGTCTTAAAGATGCCAAGGTTGGAGACCTTGCCCTAAAAGAAGGCAGTTTGGTAATGCCCAGTGAAGAAATCCACCAGCCTTCATTTTCTCCTAGAATTAGAAATCCACAACCAGGCATGAGATTGATTGAGCCTCTATGTTCGGTTTTATGCTTTGCAGCTGCTTGTGGCGGGTTCCTCACCAAACTCAATGGCTCCATCACGAGCCCTGGATGGCCGAAGGAATATCCACCCAACAAGAACTGTATCTGGCAGCTGGTGGCGCCCACCCAGTATCGCATATCCCTGCTATTCGACTACTTTGAGACAGAAGGCAATGACGTGAGTGTTGTCCTTTAGAAAGAAGGCACTGGGTTTGTGTAGATGGCTATCTCGCAACTTTTGAGTTGCTGTGGATTTTCATTGATGGAGGATGGGATGCCCATTAAATAAACAATATGGAAGACGTAGTGCCCCAGGCAATGGTGGGATTCAAATTTTTTTACTACCAGTTCTGTGGGCGTGGCTTGGTGGGTGTGGTGTGGTTTGGTGGGCGTGGCAGGGGAAGGATACTGCAAAATCCCCCTTCCCTTCCCTCCCCACCCCTCTAACCTGCTTTCCAGTTCCATTCTCCTGTGCAGGGCAACGAAAGGAGACCCAGCCAATCAGCTGGGACTCGGGAGGCAGAGGATAGATGGGGGCGTGGCCAGTCAGAGGCGGTATTTCTCTGAACTACTCAAAATTTCCACTACCGGTTCTTCAGAACCAGTCAGAACCGGCTGAATACCCGCTCTGGCCCCGGAGTTTTATACTGCTTTCTGAAGGTAGAAGGAAGATTTAGGAACAAGATTATTCTGCAATCGCAGGACAGTCACCAAAACAGCTTTATTTCCATACCCTAAATCAGGGGTGTCAAACTCGATTTCACTGAGGGCCACATCGGGGTTGCATTTGACCTCGGAGGGCTGGGGGCAGGCATGGCCATGGTGGGCATAGCCATGGGACTCGTGTCAGGGGCACCAGTGGTGACCAAGTACTAATGCAGGACTTCCCTGAGACCCTCTCTCGCTCTCATTATAATCTCCCTTCCTCTCTTCTTTCCTTCCTTCCTTCCTTTTCTTCTTTTTCCTTCCCTCTTCATTCTCCTTTCTTCTTCCTCCTTCCTCTCTCTCCTTTTTGTTTCCTTCCTTGCTCTCTTCCCTTCTTCCCATCTTTTTCTTTGTCTTTCCTCTTTCCCTTTCTCCTTTCCTGTCCCTTTGGCAACTCTCAAACGACCGTAGAAATATTTTAATTGGCGTAACTGCTGGAATCCTGACACCTTTCTTGCACGCTCAAATGCAAAAGGGGAAACATTTTTCCTTTTGTTTTGTTTTTAGTTGGTTTTGATTGCCCTCTGCCAGCGAAAACGGAGCTCGGGAGGCACACACGGCCTAATATCAGGTACGGGGGGGTGCCCCCTGAGCACGGGGTGCCCCCTGAGCTCTGTTTTCACTGGCAAAGGCACCGCAGGCCAGTTCCTTGCTGTTTCCAGGCCAGATCTAAACACCCCCTCGGGCCAGATCCAGCCCCAAAGGCCTTGAGTTTGACACCCTTGCCCTAAGATTGATTATGTTCCTGCATTATGGATTGTTAGTTCTGGAAAGATGATTGATTATTCCAATAGGTTTTTGAATATTTGGTTTGGAAGAAAATTTAGAAGAATTAATGAAGCGGGTGGAAATGGGGCTGTTAAGTATCATGTTGGCCTAGGAAGGTAGTTGTTTTTTTTTTTTAAAGAAAATCATTAACCACGATCCACCCCTGTGGACTTAAATGGCTAGCTCGGGAATTCTGGGAGTTGAAGTCCACAGGTCATAAAGGGGTCGTAGTTGCCCACCGCTGATCTAATAAGAAAACATTTTTCTGAATGGATGAAACCAATAGCAGTGCAGTTAAAGACTCCCAAAGGTTTGTGGTCTCAGGTATCAAAAGAGAAGACATGTTTCCATGCGGGATGCAGAACAAACTTTGGCTGTGACCACTTCTGCCAGCGGTGGGATTCAAATACGTTTACCGCCGGTGTCAGTGGACATGGCTTGGGAGGCACGCTTTGCATGCATGCACACACTTTGCGTGCGCGTGTGCACCAAATGCGCACTTTGCGCAGGCGCGGAGGCATTCTAACTCGCCTCCTGCGAGCCTGCACGATCCCAGTCACTTCAGCAGCTGTCGCGCAGCACTATTCTGTGTCGTGCAAAACAGTTGAGTGTCAAATTCAGACGATAAAGGTGAATATGGGAGCCCAGGTGGGTGGGTGGGCCCAACAGCAGAGCGGCAGAGATAGCCAGTTTGGTCTCTGCTGCTCATTGCCGCTACTGAGTCGGTAGAACCGGTAGAATACCACCGCTGACTTCTGCCCACATTCTCCTCCTCCTAAACCTGGGCATTATTTCCTCTTGCCTTTCCCTTTAGGTGTGCAAGTATGACTTTGTGGAAGTGCGCAGCGGCCTCACTTCTGAAGCCAAGCTCCACGGGAAGTTTTGTGGAGCAGAGAAACCCGAGGTAATCACCTCCCAGTACAACAACATGCGCATTGAGTTCAAGTCTGACAACACCGTTTCCAAGAAAGGCTTCCAAGCTCACTTCTTCTCAGGTAGAGCCACCTGGTCTCTTGAAAGCATGCCTGTCTGTCTCCCGCTTCGTCCCACTCCAGCAACTAACGCTCCTTTTTTAAACAATGGATTACGCTTAGAGGATGCAATGCCTGATTTCCCCCAAAGGGAAGAAGATGCCACCTTCTTAGAAAAGGAATTCTGGCCTTAGTTTTATTGGCGTAACCCCTGAAGGAAACAGTTGTGATTGCACATTGGGGAATCCTTCTCCTTCTCCTCCTCCTCCTCCTCTTCTCCTTCTCCTCCTCCTTCTTTCCCCCTTTCCCCTTTTTCTCCTCCTCCTCTGGGTACTCCATCATTGGAGGCTTTTAAGAAGAAATTGGATAGTCATTTGTCCAAAATGGCATAGGGACTCCTGCTTGAGCAAGGGGTTGGACTAAAAGATCTCCAAAGTCCCATCCAACTTTGTTATTCTGTATTCTGTAAAAGGCATTTTTTGGTCTTTAACCAAAATCAACCTTTTCCCTTCCCTTCTTTTCTCTCTTCTCTTCTCTCCTCTTCTCTTCCCTTCCTTTCCCTCTTCTCTTCTTTTCTCTCTTCTCTTTTCTCTCCTCTCCTCTCCTCTCCCCTTCCCTTCCTTTCCCTCTTCTCTTCTTTT